GTGCATTGTGCACGCTGCATTGTGCATTGTGCATGCTGCATTGTGCATTGGCACGCTGCACTGTGCATTGTGCATTGTGCACGCTGCATTGTGCATTGTGCACGCTGCACTGTGCATTGTGCATGCTGCACTGTGCATTGTGCACGCTGCACTGGGCATTGTGCATGCTGCATTGAGCATGCTGCATTGTGCATCCTGCATTGTGCACGCTGCGTGCTGCACGCCGCTCCCCTGGGGACACGAGGAGCGCTGACACCGTGCTCTCCCCGCTCTCCCCGGCGCTGCCATGCACGGCCGCACGCCCCTCTCCCCCCCGTGCTCTCCCCTCGGCACAGAGGGCTCGTTTCCTTTTTAAGCACTGAATGTGCGGATCAGCAGCGGGGAGATGAGCTCCGAACACAGGGAAGGGGGCTGGGGGAATTGTCCTTTGGTTCTTCCAGAGCGGCTCCGCTCCAGCGCGGCTGATGTGTCGACAGCTGGGACGGGAACACAACCAGCAGCGCTCTGTGCTCTGCCCCCCGCAATGTCCCCTGGGCGGTGCAAGAAGCTGCAGGCAGCACGGCGTGCAGGCCAGGCATGGCACTGCAGACGGTGCTCGGTATCGGTGGTACAGAGTGCACAAAAAGCAGGACACAGTTGGTGGCACTGCGGGCACTGCGGGGCAAAGCACAGTGCTGCAGGCAGAGAGTGGTGCTGCAGGGAATGCATGGTGCTGTGGGCAGTGCACGGTGCTGCAGGCAGTGCCCTGCAGATGCACCATGCTGCAGCACTGCATGCAGTCTCTCTCCTGACTCCACAGCTCAGGACTGTTGCACATTTGTTCCACTCGCAAAACCCCGACTGCTGTACTGAAGAGGAAGTAAGAAGGTACCCTGAGGAACAAGGAGGGTGTGCTGGTAGTGGGGATGCTGAGGAGGTGGAGATGCTGAGTGCTTTGGTCCTCACTTCCAAGATCACCCCCCTGGGACCCCTGGACTCCGGGGAGAACAGAGAGAGTCAGGGAATTGAGAGCTTCCCTCTGGGTGAGGGGGGATGGTCCTGGAGCAGCCGGGTGGGAGCAGTGTGCAGGTCTGCAAAAGGGGCAGGAAGGAGGATCCAGGAAACCACAGGCTGTCAGCCTCACCTCTGTGCCTGGAAAGGCCACAGAACAGCGTGTTCTGGGTGCCATCTCCAGGCGACTGGAAGAGAAGATCATCAAGAGTAGTCAGCATGGGTTCACCAAGGGGAAATCGTGCTTGTCCAACCTGGCAGCCTTCTATGATGGCATCACCAGCTGGGTAGGTGCAGGGAGAGCAGTGGATGTCATCTGCCTCAATGTCAGCAAGGCTTTTTGGTGTTGTCCCCCATGGCATCCTGATAACAGAGCAGAGAAGGACTGGAGCATCCCCAGGGACGGCTGTGTGACCTGGAGCTGCTCAGCCTGGGGAAGACTGAGAAAGAATCTGATTAGTGCTCATGAATATATTCAGTGTGGGAGACAAAGGCACATGGCCAAGCTCTTCTCGGTGGTCTGTGGGGACAGGACAAGGGGATGTCCCAGCCCCCCAAAGTCCTGCCCTGTCTGATCACTGCCTTTATTTACAGACTGCTGTGGGGGGAGAGGCAATGTGGGTTGTGCTTTGCTCTGAGGACTGATCCTGTTGGTTTTTCCTAAGGGCATTCCATGCACTGTGGTCCCACAGGTTGGCTGCAGATCAGCCAGAAGCTGCTTGGCCCTGGGCAGGACCCTGAATATTGCAGAGGCTGCACCAAGTGCACACTGCAGCCAGGACAGCACTAGCACTGCTGCTGTGCTGCATCCTGCCACCAGCAGATGGAGGTCAGCCACCCGTTCCTGCCATGCAGAAGTGGGCATTAACTTCCCCAGAGGAAAAGAGAGAAGCATCACAAATGAGCTGAGATGTCTCAGACCTTCCTGCAAGGGTCCCATCCCATCTCATCCTATCTCATCACATTACATCCAATCTCATCCCATCCCATCCCCATTTTATCCCATCCCCATTCCCATTCCATCTCCATTCCCATTCCATCTCCATTCCCATCCTATCACATCCAATCTCATCCCGTCCCCATCTCCATCCCCATCCTCATCCCCATCCCCATCCCCATCCCCATTCCATCCCATGTCATCCCACTCCCATCCCCATCCATCTCCATCTCCATTTCCATTCCATGCCATTCCATCTCATCCTATCACATCCAATCTCATCCCATCCCATCCCATCCCCATCCCATCCCACCCCCATTCCATCCCCATCCATCTCCATTTCCACCCCATGCCACCCCATCTCATCCCACCCCACCTCAACTCATCCTATCCCAAACCATCTAATGCCACCCTACCCCATACCCATCCCATCTCTATCCCTCCCCATCCCATCCCATTCCATACCACCTCATCCCATCTTATTCCATCTTATTCTACCCCATCCCACCCCATCGCTGACTCCAAAGTGATGTTGCCACATCCCTGCTGAAATCTCTCTGCTGTGTTCATTCCCCCTCAGCCATCTTTTACATTCACTGCTGACACGAGCAGCTCTGAAGGTGACAGCGGGACCCGCAGGGGAGCCAGCAAGCAGAGAGTGGGCAGAACCTGGTGCTGCGTGTGTGTGTGTGCCTGCCCCATCCCTGGAGGTGTTCAAGGCCAGGTTGGATGGGGCTCTGGGCAGCCTGGGCTGCTATGAAATGTGGAGGTTCGTGGCCCTGCGGGGGGTTGGAGAATTGTGATCCTTGAGATCCCTTCCAACCCTGGCCATTCTGTGATTCTGTGATTCTGAGGTGTAGGGGCTGGATGGCTGCAGGGAGCTCACACAGACAGAGCTGCAGGATGGCAGGGGATGCCTTTGGAGTGCGTGGCTGTGTGTGCTGCAGGGCAGGGGAAACCCAGGGAGAGCTGGTGCTCTGTGTGCGGGTGGGTGGGAGAAGAGGAGGCTCAGAGCTGCCCCAGCAAACACCTGGGGCATCATTGCGCTGTACAACTTCCCCTATGAAGACAGGCTGAGGGAGCTGGGCTTGTTCAGCATGGAGAAAAGAAGGCTGTGGGGTGACCTCATTGCAGCCTGCAGTACCTAAAGGGAGCCTACAGACAGGAGGGGAATCAACTCTTTGAAATCATTTATAACTGCAGGACAAGGGGAAATGGTTTGAAGTTGAGGGAGGGCAGATTGAGTTTGGATGTCAGGGGGAAGTTCTGTGCTATGAGAGTGGTGAGGTGCTGGAACAGCTGCCCAGAGAGGCTGTGATGCCCCGTCCATCCCTGGAGGTGTTCAAGGCCAGGTTGGATGGGGCCCTGGGCAGCCTGGGCTGGTGTGAAATGTGGAGGTTGTTGGCCCTGCGTGTGGCAGGGGGTTGGAGCATCGTGATCCTTGAGGTCCCTTCCACCCCGGGCCATTCTGTGATTCTGTGAAGGGGGGTTGTGATGAGGAGGGGTTTGGCCTCTTCTCCCAGGCAACAAGCAGGACTCGATGCAATGGCCGCAGTTTGCAGCAGAGGAGGTTTAGGTTGGACATGAGAAGAACTTTTTCTCTCATGGTCAGGCGCTGCAATGGCTGCACAGGGAGGTGGTGGAGTCGCCGTCCCTGGCAGCGCTCAAGAGGCGTCTGGATGAGGAGCTGTGAGATCTGGTGCAGTGCCTGTGGCAGCGGTGATGGGAGGGCGGCTGGACTCGATGATCCCGCAGGTCGTTTCACGATTCCATGATTCCATGCCGGGACCACAGAGCGTCAGTAAAGCCGGAAACCTCAACCAGAGCACCGAGCCCAACCGCAGCGCCCGCACTGCCGAGGCCGCGTCCCGCAGCCGCCGCTCATCCCATCGGCCTCAGCGCAGCGCCGGGCGCGGAGCGGCGGGGGGCGCCATAACCCGGCGCGGCCCGGCAGGGGGCGGCTGAGTGCCGCGCTGTCCCGGCGGCCGCCGCGCTCCCCCCGCGCCGCCCCCCGCCTCACTGCGCAGCGCAAACATGGCGGCGGCGGCGGAGGCGGCGCGGCGCTGAGACGGAGCCCGCAGCGCTCGGGGCCGCGCAGGTGAGGGGCGGAGGGGCGGCGGACCGGGCGGGGCGGGGGGCAGCGCGGCAGCGCGGCCGTTCCGCGGGGCGGGGCGGGCCCGGAGCGCGGCTGTCACGGCGGCCCCCTCTGCACGTCCTGCCCGCTCGCGGCCCTCCCTCCGTCGCTCGGCCTGCCGTGCTGCGGAGCTTCGTGCCGCTCCCTGAGGCCCCGCAGCGCTCGGTGCCCGGCCCCGAGAGGTGACGGCGCGGGACGGAGCCGGGAGCGGCGCCGCTCAGACGCGGCTCTGTGCCGTGACCCCGCGGGGAGCATAGCGCACTGCTGCACCGGGGAGCGACGGTCCTCCTCCACAGCCCCTCGGGATCCGCTGCTGGAGGGGAGAGTTGGGTTGGGGGTCAGGCAGAGTTCGGGTCGAGGGCCGGGCTGCGTTTGTGCTGAGGGTCAGGCAGGTCGGGGTTGGGATTCGGGGCAGGGTTGGGACTTTTCACGCACAGCACGGTGTTAAAAAAAAAAAATACCCGCCCTGGCAGGCGGGCTGCTGCCGCGCTGCACTCAGGTTTGATCCCTGCGTTCTTCAAAGCCGCTGCGTGGAACTGCGGCCTCCTGCAAGTGCTGGGATGGCCGTGCTCAGATGTGCTGCAGGGCAGCAACCATCGCAGGGCCTGCAGCCGGCTGCCAGCCCGGCTCCCAGCGGCTAACGCAGGCACCCAGCGCAGGCCCCGGCTTTGATTTTTGCCTCCTTTTCTGTTGACTGTTGTTGTTTATAGCGAGCAGCGGGCGCTGAGTGGCTGCGAGCAGCCATGTGGCAGCTCCTCCTCAGCAGCAGCGGGAAGCCGCTCCCCCGCCGCTCCATGGCTGCGCTGCTGGCACGGCCGCAGCCTCTCCTGTGTCAGATGCTGCACGCAGACCTTCGTGCTGTTGGGTAAACCGTGTGATGGGATAATTAAAAGAGAGCAAATGGGCACGAGTGGCACCCGCTGCAAGCCATAGAGCTGTGCTGGAGCCCAGCCAGCCCCTCTGTGCTGCCTTCCTGCGGTACTGTTGGGTAGCGTTGACCTCTGAGTCACCGGCCCAGGAACTCGATGAGTTCTGCAGCGTGGTTGGTGTGTCACTGGGAGATGCTGCTGGGGTGCAAAGCGCCGATGCTATCCGTCAGCTGGCTGCTGTCAGCAGCCTGGGCTCGTGTCCTTGCCTTACGTTTAGTTTACAAGGATCTATAAAAGCTGATGTCAGTGCTGGGGCACGGCGTGCCCGGAGAGCAGCTGGAGCGGCCGCTCGGCTCCTGGGTGAGCAGCAGCCCTTCTGCTTCACGTTTCTTCTTGCACACATCTTCCTGCTGCCCAGGTGCAGCACTCAGCCATCCCTGCTGCGTTCCTCGGGGCTGCACCTTGCCCTGCTCGTGCTTTGAGCCTGTTCCTTTCTGTCACGCATTCCAGGGCACGTTTTGCTCTTTCCATCTCGACGGCTGAATTTAACCTCTTCAAAGGCTTTTTTCTCATACCCCAAGCTCTGTTGCTGTCCTCATTTTGTACAGGCCTTTTTTATATTCTGCAATATCTCTGCCCTTCTCTGCATGCTGCTGCTGACCCGTGCTGTGGTCAGGCAGGGCACAGCAGCACTGCACTGCATGGGGCTCAGTGACCCCGTTCTCATTAGGTCTGAGTGCTGCTCTGGGACAAAGGAGTGCAGCTCTGGTGTTTGTGTGCATACTGAGCAGTGGGTTTGTGGTGAGGGAGCTGGCAGCACTGTGAGCCCCAGCGTGCTCCGTCTGGAGGAGCTGCTGGCAGCACTCAGTGCAGGGTTCCCAACAGCATTCTGTTTGCACTGGGGCTCTGATCACTTTCCTGCCTTTTGCTTGCTGCAGAAGTTGAGCTTGCAATGAGACAAGCAGGTTTGGAGGCGCAAGTTACACATATATGTATAAAAACTTCCCTGATCCGATGGCCGTGAGAAATGGGGCAAGGTGTTCTGGGTGGAGCAGCAGCTCCAGCTCCTCTTGCAGGGTTGGTGGCTTCCTCTGTTTGGCAGAAATATCCAAAAGGAAAACCATCCCCAGCAGCAGGCAGCAGGGCTGTCTGTTCTTCTGTCCTCAGTCCTGAGCTGGGGCTCTCAGCATTGAAATCCCACTGAGCTGAAGGAGAGTTCTTGGGATGCAGCACTCGTGACAGGGGACGTTCAGACTGGATGACCTTGGAGGACTTTTCCAGCCTTGGTGATCCGGTGATCCTGTGCCTTCAGGGAGGGGCTGCAGTTGCTGCTGTGCTCCAGCCCTGCCCCATTGCCGGGGGTTACGCTGATGGCTTTGCAGTTTGGCTCGTGCTCCTGCACTCTGGGTTCTCTCTGCCCGCTGTGCTGCTGGCACAGCTTTGGCAACACTGCTGGCCACGTGTGTTCAGTGCAGCCGTGTGCCTCACCGCCTTGCAGCCGCTCTGTCATTTCACACTGCTGTCAGCTGGGAGTCTGTGAGTGCTGCTGAGCTCTGCTGGCATTAGAAACAATGCGAGTGCCCAGCACGGAGTTTAATGGCTGGCAGCCAGGCTGAGTGAGAGCACCATGTCTCAGTGAGCTGCTTGGCAGGCTCTGAGCACGCCTCCATCGCTGCAGGACGGCCTGCTGGTTGCTTGTGGCCACAAATTCTGTTTGTGTTGGTGTCTGCAGTCTCACGGTGCTGCGCACAGGATGGTGGAAGGCCTCGTGGTGCACTGCGTGCTCTGCACTGTTGGTTATGTGAGCAGGAGCTGCTGGGTGCCGAGCTGCCTGCTCGTCCTCTAGGGGTTCCATTGCTGTGGTCTGCCATATCACTCCTTCTCCTCTGGTTAGGAGTGCACAGAAGTTCTGCTGAGCACTTGCTGGATTGCTCTGTTTGCAGCGCAGGGTGCGTCGCCTCTCGAGAGATTTGAGTTCCTTCAGTCGCAGCTGAGCCTGGAGTTCTGCACAGGATAAAAATAGCAGGCGGTAATTAATGCACGTCCTCGGCGAGCCCAGCTCTGCTGCTCTCTCCTGACATGTTGCACTGCTGCAATTTCCTCTCCTCCTCTGAGGGAAGAGATGAATTAATCTCTGCACGGGTAGGAAGGAAAACAAGGAGGTCAGGAGCGGGACAGGAGCAGGGCTGTGCAGCGGGACGGAGCAGGCTCTCCCTGAAGTTCAGGTACATTCATTTCATTAATTACTGCTGCCAAGCTCTCGTGCACTTATCCACCACCTGATACTTTTTTTCCCGTATCTCCCATCCCGTAAGGAGCTTTGTTTTTAACCAGGAGATGCCCCAGCAGAGAGCGAGGCTGATGAAGCAGGTTCTGTCACACAGAGCAGTGAGGGCTGTGCTGCAGGCTGCACTCCAGCGATGTCAGCATCCCACAGCACAGGGCTCCCGCTCTCCTGGAGCACCCAGGGACGTGTTTGGGATGTGGCACTGTGAGCAGGGTGCTTCTCCCAGCCGCCTCGGGCTGCCCATCGGTCAGAGCTGCTCTTTGCTGCTTGCTTTGCTCTCTTTCTGCTTTTTGTTGTTACTCCTTGAAGCTCTTCCCTCCCATTTCTCAGCCTGTTCCTGGAATGCACCATGTGTGTTGGTTTTATTGAAGCTCGGTGGAGCAAGGGCTGCTCCTGGCCGGAGCTGTGGCCCACCTGCATCTCTCAGTTGTTTTTTGGAGAGAGAAACAAAGCGCTGTGGGATCCTGCCAGGCTGTGTTCTTTTCTCCCTGAAGCTGAGCTCTGCCCAGGCTGTGTCTCAGGGCTGGGAAGCTCACTGCTCACGGTCACATCATCAGCACACCTCTGCATCCTAACGTCTTTCCCAGGAGTGCATTCCTGAACATTCTGGCGTTTATCAGCCTGCCTCTCACGTGGCAGAAAGATGGAAATTCATCCTAGAGAGACAGAAGAGGAGTTGGGAACGGCACAGAATCCTTCTGGTAGAAGTTGTGGTTTGCAGCCATCCCACCCCCCCAGGGATCGCTGCCCCAGATGGAGAGCTGCCTTTGGCTGTGACAGCACTTGCTTGGCAGCTCCTGGTGTGATGCATGTGGGCTCCGGAGGGGCAGCGAGGAGAGGGGCTGCGCTGTGCTGGGCCGCGCTCCCTTCGTGCTGTCCCTTATTTTTATGTTTCTCCTGAGCTCTCTCCTTTTTACTTCTAATCAGACTCATCTTTTAAATCCTTCTTTGTGTGATAGTTTCGCTGTATGAAAGCTGACCTCGTCTGTTTCAGCTCCGTTGATGTGGTTGTGCCCATCTCAGCTGTGTGCCAAGCGTGGCCCTGTGCGCTCTGAGCTGAGCTTACAGCGCGCCATGCTCTGCGCTGCTGTGCCAGGGGGAACATTTGTTGCAGCAGGCTTTAAATTTAAACTTGGGGTGTTTCCAATGAATTAAATATGAACATAAATAATGCAGCTGGTAACGTAGCTTCTCTGCAATTAAATGCAGACGCTCTCATTTTGTCTCTGTGCTTCCAGGTTTAGATGCGCTGCGGCATCCGACTTTGCTTCTGGTAGAGGCTGGGGGGTGGAGAGCTGCTGACAGCACAGGGGTCTCAGTAGGAGGGGTTTTTTGGAGCTGTGGATGGGGCACTCAGTGTGCCACAACAGCAGTGGTTGGATGGGGCAGCATCCCATTGCAGCAGGTTGGGGCCTTTGGAGTTTTTAGGGCAGATCCCGTCGCAGTGGGTCTGTCCTTGGTCTGTCCTTGCTGCTGGGTGACACTGGGGCTGGGGAGTGCCCTGCCGTGCCGTGATCACTGCCTTTGGGGGGAAGCAGATGGAGAAAGTCAGGAAAAAAAGCATTGTACATGTACACACCTGCATTGTGGATGGCTTTTGGGTATGGAAAGGAAGAGAAGCTTTGCCCTTCTCTTAAGCACGTGCAGCCACTCCGCTTAGGAGATGAGCAGTGAAGGACTGCCACGTACCTTCTGATTCAGAGCTACAGACAGCTGTTGTTGCCTTTTCCCTGTGGTCTTATTCCAGTCACAAAGCACCCAGGCATTGCTTGCTGAGGGCCCTTTGGCTGCACTGCTGTGGGAAGTGGGGCTCTGCCTTCCTCTCCAGCTGCATCAGGGCCACACTAAAGCTGTACCCTATGGAGCAGAGCACTGAGCTGCTCCTCTTGTGCCTGCTGTCCCCGTGGGGAGAAGGGCTGCTGGTTCTGGGGCCAAGGTGATGGATCAGTGTTCATCAGGAGGCGTTTGTGCAATGTGGGGTGAAAACATCGCTGTTCTCCCAGTGGTGCCATCAGTCAGCATTGCAGATGTTCACATGCTCTGCAGCTGGGGGGTTTTCTCATGGCTCTTTCTTTTGTCCTAGGCGTCTTCAGTTACGTAAAGGCGAGTCGCTCCCACGATAAAGACGGCAGCGGTGATAGAATGCGGAAACCAGGGCCTCAGAAAGGTGAGCAGTGCTGCACAGGGCTGAGCAGAGCCACGGCTGGGGGGCACAGGGAACGTGTTGGCAGTGCCCCACTAGGAGCAGAGCGGAGCAGGAGTGTGCATGGACATGGCCACTGCCAAGGTGCCCTGGCTGGTGCTGGGTCACAGGATGGTGCACAACCCCTCCTGCAGACCCAGTGGTGCTCCAGCCGTGTGCGTGGCCAGCAGGGAGCTCATCTCAGCACTTGGAGCATGGGGGAAGGGAGCAGCAGAGCAGGGAGCATCCTCCACAGCCCTTTGTTCACAGCTGTGCATGCACATGGGGCTCGTGGCAGGAGATTGCTACTCTCAGTTTATCTCCTTCCTTTATTTTTCTCTAGCATCTCCTTGGCTTCTCTTACAGTGGTGTTATCCTCTTCCCAGCTGCTTGTCCTTTAATGAAGTATGAGCTGCAGGAGAGCAGGATGGGGCTGGCTGCAAGGCTGGCTGCAGTGTGAGGGCAGCAGGAGTAGGTTCTCCTTTTCCTTTTAAAAACAGTCATCTTTTGGACACGTGAAGACGGATTTGCCAAAAACAGTGCTTATTCTGTAGTGAGCTGTACCCCAGTGCAGTGCTGCTCTTACCAGGGTTGTCACTGCATGTGGGAGGCAGGGATAGCTGTGACCCTCACTGACACAAGTGCTTTGTTTCTTGTCATAGCCATAGACTGGAAGGATGGTAAGAAGCACAAGTACGGCCGCCCGCCAGAATCCCCCTCCCAGTACCAAGGTAAGAGCTCACATCCCTTCCTTTCCCTTTCTTTTATTCCTTAGAGCATCGTTTCAGGAGGTTGATGCCCCCTCGGGGGCTGAAATGTATCAGTGGAGCCCAAAGCAGGAGAAGCTCCATTTGCATTCTGAGCTTCAGACTGACTTTAAATGCAGCAGGACGAGAACATGGGCATGGGATGCAGAGCTGCACTGCTCACAGCTGCTGCAGTTTGACCTTTGGGTGCCCAGAGTGCTTTGCTTGTGGGAAATATTTGTGAAGGTGAAGACGTCAGAGCACAAAGCTGATGCTCTGCCTGTGAGCACTGCCCATCCATATCGTACTTGGTCTGCTTAGAAGTGCTCCAGGATCAATCCCTGCTCTACTGAGTGTCAAATGCCATTTGTGGAGGCACGTGGCTGCCTCTGAAACTGACACTGCACCGTGCCGGATCGCGCTGAGCAGTGCCTGACAAACAGCTCTTAAGGGACAGCTGTTGGGAGGGCTCCATGCCATCCCATCCGTGCTGGGCCAGGGCAGCTGTTTCGAAGGCCACTGGGCATTGCTGGGCTCTGTTCTCCCCATCGCTGCAGCAGTTAGTTTTGTGTGGCCATAAATGCCAGAGGGCCACAGTGAGAGGGCACTGCCTGCAAGCAGCTCCTGTGCCAAGAGCACAGAACCACCCGCACTGCCTTCCCTCTTCTTGGCTCCTGTTTGAACTCTGTTTTCTCCCCTCAGGTCACTTTACCTGGGAGAAATACCTGAAGGAAACATGTGCTGTCCCAGCGCCCGCCCATTGCTTCAAGCAGGTGAGGGACTGAGTGAGAACAGGAAACCTGAGGGAGGTGGTCTGCAGCCCGGGAGTGCTATGCTGGGGGTGGTCACCCTTTTGGCACGGGGGGATGCTTCAGGGTCTCAGAGGCTTAACAGAAATCAGCATGTGCTGAAGCAGAGTCGAACATACAGGGTTAGATGCTGCAAATGCTAGCACAGCACCAAAGGGCCGGATGGCGGGGAGCTGTGCGGTGCTCGCAGGGCTGGATGTGCTGGCTCTAACGGTCCCCTCTTTCCCTCGGCAGTCCTACACTCCTCCTGCCAACGAGTTCAAGATCAACATGAAACTGGAAGCCCAGGACCCACGGAACACCACGTCCACGTGCATTGCCACGGTGGTGGGGCTGACGGGCGCCCGCCTCCGCCTGCGCCTCGACGGCAGCGACAACAAGAACGACTTCTGGCGGCTGGTGGACTCGGCTGAGATCCAACCCATCGGGAATTGTGAGAAGAATGGAGGGATGCTGCAGCCTCCTCTGGGTGAGCTGAGCTGCAATGAGCACCCACGTCATCCCTGGGGAGAAGCAGGATCAGTTTTCTCACGTTTCTGTCCCTGGGATGGAGCCCAGCACTGTCACAGCAGTGCCATCTCCTGCAGCTCGCTGAGCTGTTGGCCAGGGGTGCCACAGCTCTGAGTCCTGCACACACTGTGGAGGTGCTTTGGGTTGCAGATGCAGGAGCTGTTGGTGCACAGATGAGCAGCCTGCACTCTCGCAGCTCAAGCTCAGGCTCAGCACGTGCAGGCTGCACTCCTGAAGCTCTCCCTCTGTGCCTCAGAGGAGAATTTTGTTCTCAGCTGTTTGTTTGGAAAGGTCCCAGGGCTGCTTACATCTCCTGGAAGGCACAGAAGCAAAGGAACTGCAGAGCCTGGCAGTGCTGGAGGTAGAGAAGCTTTGATGGCCTTGCCTGGGCGTTGCCTGTGCACAATCAAGACAAGTCCAGGTTCTCCCTCCTTGGGCTGTGTTGGTGGCAGTGCCACAGCCTGGCTGCAGAGCATTGGCTGTGCCCACAGCACGTCCCCTGTGCTCCCCCTCCAAGCAGAGCTCTGCGCTGGCGTCCATAGAGATGCTGTGCCAGGGAGCTTGAAATCCTCGTGCACAGCACAGCCAGGAGAGCTGTTAGGGCTCAGGCACCCACACCATCACTGCTGGCCCTGCCACTCACTGCAAGAGCATTTCCACTTTCATTTTTGTGCCCAGAGGGCTCAGCAGCTATAGCAGGTTGGCTGGGGTCTGTCTGATGGGGGAACGATGGCTGGAAGTGCTTCCAGTGATTTAAGTGCTGCATAGAATGAAGGGCTGCTTGCAATATTCCATCTCTTGGTACTCATTGTACTCATCTGCAGCTTGATGAACAACCGGGGTAGCTGCTCTCTGCTTCCAGCCCCATCTCCCCTTACACATGTTTTCTGATGCTGGCCCAACAACGGGCTGATTTCCCATTTTTCTAACGACGCACAAAGATTAACATGCTTTTAACCATGGTCTAGTCTGGTCTGGAGGTTGGCGAGCCTGCACACAGCAGGGGGGTTGAAACTAGATGATCTTTGAGGTCCTTTCAACCCAGACCATTCTGTGATTCTTTCGCATTCTGCTGCTGGTCGCTGTTGCAGTGTCTCCTTAAAACCCTCTCAGGGCCCCCAGATAAAATCACGCCCATCTATAGCAATGGAAGAAACCTTCAGTGGAAAACCTTGAGTTAGAGGGGTTTGGGTTTCTGCTTTCCGTGGAGCATCGTTTGTGAGCTGTGCTGGAAGCACAGTGGCCCCAGGTGCACATCTGGCCCACCTGCCATGCAATGTGGGATGCAGGATGCTCGCATCACACCTTCCTCTTCGTGTTTGCTCTGGGTGGAGCCTGCTGTGAGCCTTAAAGCTGCCGTGCTGTGTTGCCTCCTCATGTGCTGTTGTGAGCTTGCAGCCCAGGCCCAGGTGGAGCTCAGAGCTCCAGCACAGCCAGCCCTGCTCCTGCTCAGTTCCTGCTCTGCCTGCTTTGAGTTTTGCCAGCAGATGACAAAAGAAGTAATGGAGCTGCAGAGCAAAAGTCATTTCTGACTGTGCCAAAGGAGGTCAGTGCTGTGTCCAGCTCTGTGCTGTGCCCCCCGCTGCTCCCAACAGGAGTGATGCTCTTGTGCCTGGCGAAAGCACTCAGCAGAGCACTGTTCTTCCTACCTGCAGGGTGTGTGAGCCTGCAGCTCATGCCATGGCATTCCTGCACCCCATGTAGCACTGTGTGCACACACCGCTGCTCCCTTTCCTTGCACACCTGGTGTAAGAGGTCCCATTGGTTTGTCCCTGCGGTTTGTGGCAGCTGCTGTGGGTCCCACGGGGGTGGCAGAGGGTCTGTGAGGTGTGCCAGGAGGTGTGTGCTAAGCAGCAATGGGCTGCATGGCATCAGGAGGTTGTTGTGCACACACTGCAGATCTGTGTTGACTTCAGGGGGGACGCTGTGTGCAGGGGCTCCTTTGTGCCAGATCCTGCTGTGCTTCTCATGATCCATTTCTGCTTTCTGTTTGATCTGAATTTCATTTTCTTTTAATTATTTCTTTGCGTGTGTGTTTATGTGTGTGTGTGTGTGTGTGTGCCTTTTCAAACAACAGAGCACTTCGGGCTCTGGCAGCTCTGGACTGAGTGCCCTCAGCCTTCCTGGGGTGCTCCAGCAGTGAGGGGTGCAGGAGGAGCAGTGCTGAGCAGCAGGCACAGCCGTTGTGCACTCACTCACACACTCAGATCTCCAGGATTTGCAGTTTCCTTCTCGCTGATTTCTCCCCTCTCTGTCAGAGCAGCTGTTTGTGGCTGCAATCTGGGGTCTCAGTCTCAGTGCCCATCTCTGCTCTCTGCCCACAGGCTTCCGGCTGAACGCCTCCTCCTGGCCCATGTTCCTCCTGAAGACTCTGAATGGAGCAGAGATGGCTCCCATCCGGATTTTTCACAAGGTACTTGGCTGTTTGGGAGCACATCCCCCTCCTGCATGGGGGACAAGCGCACTACCAGCATTGCCATGTGCTGCTCCCCCTGGCAGCTCCGTGCTGCTGCTGCTGGCTCAGGGTAGGGCTCAGTGCTTACACAGCACCGTGTGGGCTGTGCCCAGCAGCCCGGGGATGCGAGCTAGGCAGCTCACAGGGCTCACAGCCACCCCATCTGCTCCATCTGCTCGTGGAGGTGAGTGGCGATGGAGGGGCAGCCCTGCTCCAGCTGGGCACCGCCGCTCTCTGAGCTCATTTTCCTTTTCTCATAGGAACCACCATCTCCATCCCAAAACTTCTTCAAGACAGGTATGAAGCTGGAGGCGGTGGACAGGAAGAACCCTCACTTCATCTGCCCGGCCACCATTGGGGAGGTGAGAGGTTCTGAGGTCCTCATAACATTTGATGGCTGGAGAGGTGCCTTCGATTACTGGTGCCGATATGATTCCCGGGACATCTTTCCCGTAGGCTGGTGCTCGCTGACTGGAGATAATCTGCAGCCCCCTGGAACAAAAGGTAAGGCCGCCTCACTGCCCAGCACTCTTGCACTTGAGGATACGATAAGGGAACCGTGAGCATTACTGATTTTATGCCGTGGGGCTGCTCCTGTTTGCACTCCTGGTGGTTTCCTGGTGTGCTTTGTGCCATGGTCTCCTCTGTGAACATGGAAAAAGCACGGGCATGAGCAGGAGCGAAGCATGAAAGCTGTGTGATGCTCCTGAAAAGGCCTTCGTGTGTGCTCTGCTGTTGCTGAACTCGCCTTTCCTCAGGGAGTCTGAGCAGCTCCAGCTTTCATTGCTCTTAACTGGGGTGGAGAAGCAAGCTGCTCTGGGGTCGTGGGCAGCAGTGGAGCGAGAATCCAGAGAGCCCCTCTCTATTATGAACAGAGCAGAAAGTCGATTCTGAGGGTCAACCTAAAGAAGGAGGGTCGTGGCTCACCTCCTTAAAAGTCACATCTGGAGAGGGCGACAATGAGTGAGATGTATGGCTCAGGGCACAGCAGAATGGAGAGGGAAACAGTGGCTGTGATAAGAAGGAAGAGATGAAGGTGGGTTAACGGCTGTCAGTTCTGGGCAGCGTCCTGGCAGGGGTGGGTGTGGAGGAAACCTCCCATTACCAGAGCTCAGCCTCGCAGAGAAGAAATATCTGCTGCTGGAATGGCATCCCTAGCTCTGCTTGTGCACACGGAGCACGTTGCTGCTGAGGGGCAGGGAGGTGCTGCAGCCTTCCCTGCAGTGTGCCCCCCCTGCTGCAGCACTCTGATGGTGGGCAGTGGTGTAGCACAGCGCGCTGGCCTGGGCACAGCACTCAGGGCAGCCTCCATCTCTCAGCACTGTCGCTGCCCTGGGATGTGTTTGTTAAGTGCTCAGTGTCTGCAGGTGGAGCTGATGCTCAGGCACCAGGCTTTCCACTTAACGTGGTGCAGCACTTCTTCTGGTTGCTGCTGCTTGGTTTCTCTCCCTCCTGCAGAGATGCTCGCTGGGAACGCAGGCGAGCGCTGCTCTCAGTGCTGGGAGCAGTGGCCCCACAGAGCTGCAGGTCCGTGGCTCTGTGTATGCAGCAGAACCCCTGTTTGGGAGCTGGTGTCACGTCAGCATCACAGCTGCACTTTTCTTCTGTGGTCTACCTTGAAGTTTTCTCATAACCTGCAGAGTTGTGGTGCTGACTGGGCTGGGAGTGCTGCTCCCTCCCTAACACCATGGTGTAGAAGACAGAGTCCTGGCTGCTTGATTCTCTCCTGCAGTTCAGACTGATGCTGCTGAAGAAGCAAGTCATGCAGCCCAGGTGTGCAGTGCTGGCTGCAGTGCTTCCAGGTGCTTTGGAGGTCAGCCTGCATTTGCTCCATCCGCAGAGCATCCAAAGCTGTGTTCTGTTTGCACCCTGTGTCTTGGAAGGGGGAGGAAAGTGCTTTGGAGCCCAGGCAGCCTCCTGAGCCCAGCTGTGGCACTCGGGGAAGCGCTGCTGCAGCACGTGTCCTCCTTGGTGCTTGGTGCTGAGCATCCAGCCCTGCTCACTGCACAGAGCAGTGTGTCACAGTTCTCCTGACCCTGGTATTTTTATAACTTCTGAACGGCTTTAAAAAGAACAAAAGATGGAACAAAGCACACCCACCCACCGCTCTGCTGGCTTCTTGTGCTCTGGGATATCAGAGATGCCCGGCTAATGTTTAACCAGGAAGCCAAGGCTCAAAATGCACTTCAGACAAGAGCAGAATGAGCAGAAACTGCAGGAATGCCCCAGAGTGGCCTGAGCACCACGGCAGTGTTTTGGTTTGACCTGGGGGGTCAGAGTGAGTGGGGATGACACTGCAGTGTGCTTGGGGTGGGGGGCCATGGGGTGCAGTGTGGGGGAGACCTGCTGTGAAGGTGACTGCAGGCAGGCGCAGTGTTTTCTTATCCCTTGCATTGGAACCGTGTGCCCCGGTGGGCTCAGTGCTCATGGGTTGGGTTGGAGCTGGGCTGCTGGCTGCTGCTGGCAGCTGCAGGGCCAGGCCCAGGTGCTGTGAGCTCCTGAGCAGCACAAGCTGGGGCTGCCAGCACTGAGAGCTCCTTGCAGGGCTGCAAGCACAGCCGGCTGCAGGCTGCTGCAAACCAGTGCTGCTCCCACACTGAGAAGGATGCTTTCTGCAGAGCAAATAACAGCAAAACACATGTCGAGTTTGCTGGGAGCAGGAGGGGAGCTGGCAGGGGAAGGGGATGCAGAGATGGGTGCTGCTGGCAGCAGGAGGTGTTCAAGGGGGCTGCAGGCGTTTTTGGGGAGGGGGAGGCTGACGGGCAGCTGTGGGGACGCCCGCCTTGTCCTGTATCCAAACACTTTGCCTTTGTGTTGTGACAAAAAGGACACGTGGCTCAGCTCACCATTGATTTCCTATGGAAGGTGGTTGGCTCAGCAGGCAGGGTTGGGTGGGTGGTTGACCTCCTGGTGCCCTGCTACCCCTGATGCTGCCCGGGGCTGCAGTCATTCCTTTCATCCCTCATTCTGTGAGCAGGGCTGTTTGTCCCCATCTCTTTGACACCGTGCTCACCACCTGTGTACGCATGGTGCTGAGTGCTGTCCCCAGGGCTCTGTCTGGGAGCAGTGCTCTGCCAGCCCAGGGGGCTGCGGGGTCCCTTCCAACCTAGCCGAGCTGTGATTCTGTGATGTCACGGTGCTGCCTGGCGGGTGCAGAGCACTTAAGTTCTCGGAAGAAATGGAGAGCGGGGTTTTGGAGTTAGGCAGATCTGCATGCTCAGCAGAATGCCTGCACTGGTGACAGGCGTTTGGACGTCCCCACTCGGCACAGTGCTCCGTGCCTGGTGCCCAGCTGGTCTCTCGTCTCACCTGCCTTGTTGCTGTGCCATCCCCAGGGTGCTGGGGTGAATCCTGCTGTTGTGCTGTGCGGCCATCCCGTGTGTTGAGCCACTCGTGGCACTTCACCCTGTGCCGTTGGTTCTGCCGTTCAGTGACACGTGAGAAGTCCCTTCAGCTGTGTGCTCAGCCAGAGCGGTGCAGTGGAACCCCTCAAACATCAGCTCTGAGCAAAGGGCTTCTACCTGTGCTGTGCCCAAAGGAGCAGCCACAGAGCTGTGCTCTGCTGGGCTTTGCAGCCCGCTAACAGGAGCGCTGTGTGGATGCTTCTGCTGTGACATCCAGCGTGCTCACCTCGCTGTTCTCCACAGCTGTGTCTCTCCCCATCTCCTGCGGGCTGCACTGATGCCCTCTGAGCTCCTCCTACTGTGTGGCACTGCAGGGCCCTGCTCTGTGTCGGTGGGGAGGAGCGCTTTGCTCCACTCACTGCTTTGCCTGGCAGCAGCGGGGCCTTGTGGTGCCCTGCTACCCCTGGAGCTGCCCGGGGCTGCAGTCATTCCTTCCATCCCTCATTCTGCGAGGAGGGCTGTTTGTCCCCATCTCTTTGACACCGTGCTCACCACCTGGCAGCCCTCTCCTCGTCCCGTGGCTCTCAACCTGTGCGAAAGCTTTGCAGCTGCTCTGCAGAGCCCTGAATTGAAGAGTGGCTCTGTCAGGCACACTGGAGCCAGCTCATGCTGTCCTGCTTCTTTTACTCATCCCTTTGGTGTTTAAAGTCTGTGTCAGGGTTCCCCTCACTCTGGCAGCAGCCCGTCACCTCCTCCCATGCACAGTCGTGTTGAGCACACAGCCAGGCTCCCAGCTCTGTGCAGTGCCAGAGGTGTCCATGTGTGTCTTGCAGTGCAGCAGGGGTTGCTGCTGTCTCCTTGCAGCAGCAGTTGGAGCAGAAGGGCTGTCCTGCACCACCAGCCGCAGAGGGGCTGAGGGAAGGACTGAGCAGTGCTGGGGGCGGCGGCTGCTCCAGGATTTTCCCAAATGATGCTGCTGGAAGATGGAGGCTGCTCTTGTTTTCATCCTCGCCTGATTTAATTACATTTGCTTTCTCTCTTTTTATTTCAGTTGTGATTCCAAAGAGCCCTTTACCTGCCTCCGAAGTAAACTCGGAGAAGCCTAGCATGCACAGTAGCACAAAGACTGTTTTGGGGCATCAACAAGGGCAAGGGCGTCGCAAAGCAGGGAAGAAGCGTGGTCGAACGACCAAAGCGCTCATCCACCAGCCCATGCCTGCGCCCTCCAAATCAGTGGAGCCTTTGAAATTCCCCAGAAAGAGAGGCCCCAAGCCTGGCAGTAAGGTAAAAGCTGGTGCTGACGCAGGCGGGTGCAAGGCAGTGCTGCATGCGTGTGTCTGTGCACGTCTGTCGGCAGCGGTAGGAGAGCAGAGGGGAGCGCGGGGCTGGGAGCTGCCGTGCCCTCTGGGGCCTCCCCATGGAGAAGCCGTGGCTCCTGAGCCCTGTTGGCCGTGGGGTAGCACGGCTCGGGCTGCAGTGTTGGCAGGGCAGCCTGGCGCAGGGCGGCTCTGTGCCCGTGGTGCAGGGCTGGCAGGTCTGGGGCTCGTGTCCCGTGTGTGGGGCACACAGGTGTTGAGCGCGTAGATTCTCGAGGCTCCCCGTCGTCGCCGCGCCGTGTCCTGTGGTGCCTTGTTGTTGGATGCACAGCAGCATGTAGCGATCGTGGGTGGTGGAGGAGAGCGGGGTAAAAGGAGAACTATCCTCCTCTTTTTCTGCAGAGGAAACCTAGGACATTGCTGAGCCCAGCACCCACCTCTCCAACCACCAGTACCCCTGAACCCGACACAAGCACTGTGCCCCAGGACGCTGCTACAGTCCCCAGCTCTGCCATGCAGGCTCCCACAGGTAAGGCTCTCGGGCCGCATCCCTGGAAAGTTTGCACACATGGGACTGCAGCCATTGGGATGCCGCAGGGCACTGCTACTTCTTGGTGAGCGCGTGCGCCGGCAGCAGGCGCAGAGGAGGCCCAGCTCTGCGTAGGGAGGACGGGAGAGAGACGTGAGCTCAGCTCAGCCTTTCCTCTGCCCCCATCCGTATCGGAGATGTGCGGTGGCTGTGGGTCCGTCCGATGGGCACGGGGCTCCCAGTCCCTGAGCTGCCCCCTGCTTGGCAGTGACACAGAGCCCTGCAGGGCCTGCACAGCCTCAGGGCAGCGGGCTGCAGAACCGGACCTGCCGAGAGCGAGGCTGTGCTCGGGGCAGGGAGTTGGGGCACACAGGGACAGGAGGGAGCGGAGCAGTGGGAGCTCTGTGTTGCTGGGTGGTAAAGCTGGGTAGGAACGCAGCGCCGGTCCTCATGCGTTTGAGCAGTGGATGTGAGTAGGGCCCTTTGTTTCCCCAGAGCAAAAGCAGCTCATTCTCAGGCACCTGAAGAATCCCGCTCCCCTGGAGCTTGGGCTGCATCCCTTTGCTTGCTGTGCGTAGTGCAGCCGTGCTGCCTGGCTGAAGCAGGCCTCTGGGGGCTGAAAGCTGGGGAGCAGCCCCAGGAGAAGTGGCAGCAGCAGCAGAAACACCTGCAGGAACACTCCAGAGTGGTTCCCCAAAGCAAGACTGCTGCCAGCTCATGGGCAGTGGCTGTGCTGGATTCACTCACGTTTTTGGAGCACTTTGACAGTCTTTGAAACCCAGGCATCCCTCGGGTTGGACGTTAGGCATCTTTCCTGTGCGTTCTTGAGTGGGTTAATGGCAAACACGTTTCTCATCTTGGCAGTTTGCATTTACTTGAACAAGAATGGCAGCGCTGGGCCCCACTTAGACAAGAAGAAAATTCAGCGGCTGCCGGACCACTTTGGACCAGCTCGAGCCTCTGTTGTCCTGCAGCAAGCAGTGCAGGCCTGCATCGATTGCGCTTACCATCAGAAAACAGTCTTCTCTTTCTTAAAACAAGGCCACGGGGGAGAGGTCATCTCAGGTGAGAACTGGCCTGCAGCACTTTGCCTTCGGAGATGTTGTGGCAAGAATCTGCTCACTGGAAGACGAAGCTTGGCACTGTCCCGGGCCAGGAGCAGACAGAAGATTTCTGTCTTCTCTTCCTTGCTGAGCAGCTGGTGCAGGGCAGGGGCATGTCCTTGGGGAGCAGGCATAACCTCCATCCCAGCACTGCTGGGCCCCAGGAGAGGATGGCACAGCATGGGTGGGCGCTCCGCAGCTCCCGGTGGAAGGAAGAGCCGTGCTACGAAGTCTCTATTCCCCAAGCCCCGGTTTTTAATGCCCCCCAAGCCCCTGCTGAGCTGGCCATGGGAGCGCAGCCCCCCTGGATGGCCATTCCTCCCCCCATCCCACAGCCCCACTCCCACAGCCCATCTGGGCCGTGCTGGTGGCTCTGGTGCAGAGCAGCAATGCGGAGATGCAGCAGCTGGTGGTGCGGCCGCCTGCCCTTGCCAGGGCCTGACGTGTTGGGCTCTGTTTGTTTCTGTCTCCAGCTGTGTTTGATCGGGAACAGCACACTCTGAACCTGCCCGCAGTAAACAGTATCACCTACGTCCTCCGCTTCCTGGAGAAGCTGTGCCACAACCTCCGCAGTGACAACCTCTTTGGGAACCAGCCTTTCTCCCAGCACAGCCACGCGCCGCGCTCACACGAGTACGACCACGACAGGTATCTACCAGGTAGGAGCTGGGGCGGGGGTGGCACCGGGGGGACCCCAGGTCCCGTACCCAGCTTTCCCCATCGCTCGGGAGGCGGCAGTGCGTTCTGCAGCGATGCCGTGCTGCTGCCTGCAGCTCAGGGTGCCACTGCCTGCAGCTCAGGGTGCTGTGCCGGACTGGGGGTACGTGGGTGAGCAGCAAGCACAGCTCAGCACTGAGCTCTGCAGGGAGCAGGTGCTCCAATATCTCTCCGAGGCGCCCAAATGCTGTGGTTTCTGGTGAGGGCGAGGGTCGTTCCGTCGTTTGTAAAGGTTGTGTGAAGATGAGGACGTGCTGAAGTCAGGCTGAACGCGAGGGCTGCTGCTGTGTCACCTCCCACCCTGTGTGCCGCCGTGGGGCCGAGCAGGAGCATGTCTGTGGGTCAGGGGAGCTGCCAGCAAACAGAGCTGATGGCTGCTGGTAGGAGCAGGGCTGGTGTGCAGTGCTATGCATGGGTCAGTGTGAAAGCAAGGGCAGGAGGAATGCCAGGACCACTGTTACGTGGAAGCTCTGCTGCACAGCAGCCAGGGCTGGTTCCTAGCCTGCATCTGCTCTTGGCAGCTTGGTAACCACATCTTCTCGTCTCAAGCAATGCTCAGGGCCACTGTGTTCCTGCACAGCCACTGCCATTGCTGTGTCTGCAGCTCCAGCAGTGTGCCCTGCGCCTTCAGTGTCTGCATTGGCTCTGGTGCTCAGCTCCTCATTTCTCTCTGAGCAGGCGCTGTCCTGCCTGGCCCAGCCTGGGAAGGCAGCAGCAGGTCTCTGCAAGTGTGTGCCACACTTAACCAGCAAGACACCGAGCGGTGCTGCTCTGCAGTGGTGTGCAGGTTTGTTGGTGGGTGCTGCTCGGCTCTGCTCGGTCAGTGGAGCAGCACAGTGCTCCCACTCTGCCCCATGTGTGCCTGCTGCCTGCACAGCTGTTGGGGCACAGCTCACAGCACACAGCACTGCGCCCTGCAGCCCACACTGCAGCATCCTGGGGGCTGGGGGCTGTGCTGAGCCCCCTCAGAGCCGCCTGCTGCTCCGTGCCTGCCCAGCGAGCGTCTGTGTCCATCGTTCCCTGGGTCCTCCTGCCTGATCTCCCCCGCTGCTGGTGGGTCTTCATAGCGTTAAGGCGTCCGTTGCACTGAGGGTGTTTTCCTTCTGTTGTGTCCTGCTCTGCCCATCCCCTCATCACCCCCATCCCTCCTTTGTTGACTGTAACACGTCTCCTGCTGGGCGAGCGCCCGTCCTCTCTGCCACCGTCCTTTATGCCACTGTGTGGTGCCAGCCCCGTGCAGCTGGCCACCACGGGGTGACTGACTGGAACCTGCAGAGCACTGCTGGATGGCCTGGGGCTGTGAGAGGGAGAGATGGGACAGGGCTGAGCTGAGCAAAGGTGGCACTTGAGGGTGAAGATGGCAAAAAGCACTGCGGCCCCTGGTGAGCTTTGGCCCTGCGCTTTCCGTCTCTAGAACTCACGGAGTGAAATGCAGAGTGCTGTGTGGGCTGGCTGCAACCTGGGGGGTGGTGGGGCACACGGGTGCCTGTGGCACGGCCCGCCTTGCTTTCCAGCAGCTCTGAACAGAGCTTGTTCTCTTTCCCTAGACAGAAGCAGTTCGTTAGACGGCACTCTGCAGGGACCAGGCCGGGGCACAAAGCGCTATTGCCAAGATTCCCCTCCGTACAGTGCTCCTCTCTCCCCCAAGTTACCAAAGAATGACCGTCACCCACTGGAAGGTGAGCACAGCATCTCTTCCCAGTGCTGCAGGCACAGAGATGGGAACAGGAGGGGTGCAGGAGGGGTGCTGCTGGCATGGGAGCTGCATGGAGAGGGACAGAGCGGTGCTCAGGGCATGGAACCCCCACAGCAGGGTAAATGGAACATAGTGGGGGTCCTTCCCAGCTTGAGAGCTGGCAGCCAGGAGCACTACAGCGGGGCAGTTAACCCACATCTGGGTGCCATTGCTGTGTCACTGCTCCTAATGCAGCCCCATTGCTTCAGTCTGTCTGCCTCTGAGGTTTGCTGCAGTGTTGTGCACAGGGCTGGTTGTGCACAGGTTGGTTGTGCAGTGCAGCCTCGTGGCTGGGAGCTGCCCTTCCCCTCATGTTCCTCGCAGCCACGCTGAGCCGTGTGCTGTCCCTCCTTGTTGCACCTCCCAAAGCAGCCGCAGTTGTTGGTTTTGGGAGAAGTGGGAGTTTGTCTCGTGCTGGGGATCCATACAGCCTCACACTGCTTCTTGAGCACACCATTGTAATGTGTGGGAGAGTGGCCACATCAACACAGTGACTCTGTGTTCATTGTTGGACTGGAGGCGTTCTGAGGGTGAGCTTTGCACCCTTCGTGCTGCACCACTGCAGCCCTGCGTGGCCACTGTCCCTGTGTGAGGGTGCAGGGCCTAGCTGCAGTGTGGCAGCCTCACAGAGCCCAGATGGATGCTTGGGTGACAGGAACGACTTCACCTCTGCTCATGGCAATGTTTGTGGCGTGGCACAGCGCTGTGCAGCTGATGGGGTGCAGCCACGAGCAGCAGCAGCGCAGGCAGAGGGGCTCCTAGTGCACAGAATGCCCCACTGTGACACGGGGCACCATGCGCTGCTGGGACCGGCCAGGGATTCTTTGACACAGAAATTGTATCTCACAGGGCAGCTCATGCAGCACTGGGTCTGCCTGGGGGTTGGGTCATGTGTGATGTAGTAAATGCACAACTGCACTCCTCCTTTGTGCACAGAGCTGAGCAGCACTGCCCGGTACCCTGCAGGTCCGTGCTGCCCTGCAGTCCCACAGCTTGCACTGCTGCCCTCAGTGCAGGGCTGCAGTGCTCAGGTTCCTCTCTGGGAGCAGTGGCAGGACGCTGGGCTGCAGGCAGGTCAGCTGAGTGGCCGCTGTGTGAGTCTGGCTGTGGGGCAGCTCTGGCTATAGGGTACTGGGCCCAGAGCTGGCCATGCTGCTCGCTGCCCTCAAGGAGGGACAGGATGGCCACATGCACTGACTGCAGCCTGCTGCATTCCAGGTGAAACCTTCGTGCTGGGAGACGGCCCTCCTGGGCCCCTGGAGCCTCGCATGGACCCCATGGACTCGGCCCTGAACGCTGTCAATGCCTCTGGTCACAGCCGAAGCTCCAGGGAGTTCCGCCTGCAGGGATACCGGCACCTGCACCAGCCCTGCAGCCTCAGCCAAGGCAGCACCTCCACGCTAGGCAGGCTCGGCTCCACGGGTAGGAGCACGCGGGGGCACTGATGGGCACAGGCTGGGGGAGGGAGCGCTAGGCAGTGCCAGAGCTGGGATCCATCGGGGGGCTGCAATGCGTGCTCTGTCCATCCGGGCTCTCGCTTCAGACAGGTGGGGAACGGGAATGCACGACTGCAGGTGCTGCTGCATGCATGTGGGCAACAGAGCTCTGTGTTTATGGGAAGAGTGGTGCTGCATGGGCGTGCATAACTCCGCCCCGTGCTGTGCTGTGCCCCAGGCGCCGAGCGGTACCGCGAAGGCACACGGCTCAGCAGCCGCGACCCCTCGTGCTGGACGGTGGAGGAGGTGATGCAGTTCATCCGGGAGGCGGACCCGCAGCTGGGACCCCACGCTGATCTCTTCCGGAAGCACGTGAGTGTGTCTGTCTGTAGCAGGGCAGGAAGGGCAGAGCAGGGGTGGCAGGGTAGGGCACAGCCCAGCCTGAGCTCCGGTGCTCTTTGTGTTCACGGAGAGCTCAGCTCACGGCAGCACTGAACCACACAGAGCTCTTCCTCTTGGAATCCTAGAATTCACTTCGCTGCAAACTTCTTCCGGCAAGAAGCACATTGCAAGTACAGCTTACAGAGTGCCCTGCTCTGAAACTCCTGTAGAAGGGCTGGCCTTGTGCCACTGTCAGTGAGGGCTGGGACGGCGCTGGGTTGCCCGGCTCTGATGGCACTGCATTTCCTCATCCCGACAGGAGATTGACGGGAAGGCGCTGCTGCTGCTGCGCAGCGACATGATGATGAAGTACATGGGGCTGAAGCTGGGCCCGGCGCTGAAGCTCACTTACCACATTGACAAGCTGAAGCAAGGCAAGTTCTGAGGACACCCAGCAGGACGGCCCCCGCGCTCACCCGCAGTCCGTCCACACGCACCCACCCACGCCACTGCCCGGCTGCAGGGACGCAGCACGCAGAGCCCTGAGCCCTCAGCCCCTCCTGCCCCCCTGGATGCTTGGCCACGTGGAATAGGGTGGGTGTCCGTCCCCAGCCCCCAGCACTGCCTGTCTTCCACGCCAGCACGGAGCGGCTCAGCACCAGCCCCCCTGGGGGTCTTCCATATTTATTTGGGACTGGGGAGGCCCAGGAGATGGAGCGAGCTTGGGGGCGGAGGAGCAGAGCTGGGCACCGTGGGACTCATCAGCCCTTCTCTCCCCCTCGCATTTTTTATGAGGAGTTGCCCGTTGAAAACTGACTTTTTTTGTACCTGATGTCGAACTCGCAGCTCCTGGGGATTTATAGCTGGAGGTGCAGAGCCCATCTCCCCGCAGCCGTCCTGCTCCCTGCAGCTCCTTCCCAGCTGGGCAGGGGGCTCTGTCTGATGTATTTATTTGCGATGGCACTTGGGCTCTGAGCAGCAGCAGGCAGGACCACCGAGCAGAGCCCCCGCACTGCCCTGGGAGCAGCCAGGGAGCTCCCCTGAGCTGCTTCATCCCTGGGTCACCCCCAGAGCTGCCCCCCAGTGCAGCAGGGGGAGGCCGGGGGCTGGGGGGGGAGGGGACAGGTTTACCCCTAAGGGGAAAGTTGCAAAAAGAAAAGAAAAAACAAAAGGCAAAACCTGCAAACCCAAAGTGACAGAAAGGCTTTCGTCATACAGCACTGCCAGCACTGCGCTCCCTGCTCACAGGGGGGGTCCCACAGATGGGGGTCCTGCATCCCCACCCGTCCCTGTGCCACTCCCGCTGCAGCCAGGCCCCCACGTGGGCTCAGCCCATGTTTTCCTCTGCACTTATTTTACGTCAATTTGTTTATAAATAAAAGAATAACGCAGAGCTGCTGTGTGTGCAGGCAGGAGGGGAGCAGGGGGAGAGGAGACACTGCTGTCGGGAACTTCCTTTCTCTTCCGTGGCCACAGAGCAGAGGGTGCAGTGCTCACACTGCAGCAAGAGGCAGGAAAAGAAAGGAGAGCACAGCTGCTGCCCCAGGAGTGCAGAGCAGAGCTGGGGGCACCCTTCGGTCATGGTGCACTCTCCTGGCAGCTGTGCTCTGTGTGCTCTGTGCTAACAGCATCCCCCCAGAAAGAAGACAAGATTCCCCCTGTACCCAAATCTCCCTCTTGTACCTTAAGGACGGAGCTCTCTGTGCTACGCTGAGCTCTTTTCCCATTATGATTCAACATCAACGCCGAAGTACAAAAGAAGAGCTGAGGAAATGGAGGGGATGCAGTAACAAAAGTGTATAAACCATAAGTTAGGGAAGGCAGAAGCGGAGAGCGGCCACGTATTGCTGTGAGAGGGCCCAGAAAACCAAACGGGGGCTCTTCTTCAGCCACGACACAGCTGAAGGAAAAGTAAAGAGGAAAAGAAGGAATCAGTGATGCTGAAGGGCAGCAGACACACTCAGAGCAGAGCAGCTGAGCTTTCCTTTCCATAAGGGAAGGGTTGGGAGCACTGGGAGTTACCAAGCATCAGTCGTGGTTGAAGGATGGAAACTTGAGCTCTGTTATCTCCGAGTCAGGGGAGCTGCTGCCGCTCCTGTCGCTGTAGGTGTCCCTGCAGAGGACAGAGGCAGTGCTGTGGGACGAGTGCTGAGGGCTCTGCAGTGGGAGCAGTGCCTCCTTCTGCCCGAGGACGAGCAGTGAGGCATGCAGAGCTTCCCAGTGCCGTCCCTGTGGGGTCGGCCACGTGTTGATTTCTACTGGCAAACCCTAACATTATTTTTGTACCAGATCTTTTAAGACCCCACTGATCAACACCAAGCTAATAGCAAGTAGACTGGTTAGCCACCTGCACTGCGCATTCCCTTTCAGCCTCCTGGTGGCAGCCAGCTGCCTTTAATCCATCAAACAGCTTTCAGAACCAATCGGTGGCTCTGATGGGAAGCACCCTGGGAACAGCACAGCCAGCAGTTGGACCTCACATCTCTGCCTACTGCTTCATCCCATCCCACACGTTTTTACAGGGCTATAAACACCTGTTCCTGAGCACTGCTGGGATGCTGTCAGGTCCCTGTAAAGTCCCCGTGAAGGGAATTTCTCTGGAGCAAAGCCTCCTCCCAGCTGCTGGATACCCAGCACCAGACCTGCAGGGTGAACTGCTCCACATGATGCACACACACCACGCATGCTGCAGTCTCAAACCATGCAGGGAATCTTCGGGACGCTCCCCCAGCACTCTGCATTGTCCCTGCTGGATTCCTTCCAGTTCTCTCTGCCCAGCCCTGTACCCACATCTCTCTGAAGCACCCTTTGGTACACAGACTGTTGCACCCCCTGCTGCCACCTGCACCGGTGTGCAGAGAGGAGCCTTGCTGCTAAGAGCTGTGCCAGCACAGCAGTGAGGAATGGAGGCTGTGCTGAAGTGACCACACGTGTTTTGTTATCTGCTCACACCAGCACAGAGACTCTCCAGACGTGCAACGCTGCCTTCAGCTGCTGCAGGAACGATGGAACTTGGTCTCTCTGGATGGAAAGAGCTGCCTCATCCCCATGGCCAAAGCAGGAAATTAAAACATCCCCGCAGCTGCAGGGCACTGAAATGGGGTGTCATGACAGCGACTGTGCTCAGAGATCAACCAGAGCACAAGGGGTGGCTGCTCCCCATGCAGCAGCACAGAACTGCTGTGATACAGCTGTGCTGCAGCTCAGTCTGGACAGAGCAGCGCTCTGCATTACAAGCTCTGCATTACACCTTGCCCTGCTTTGGTGCTTTAGTACTCCCTGCCTTTGGCACTGTTAATGGCCTTTTGTTGTGCTGTTCAGTGAGCACGAGCGCTCCTACTGTAAAAGCAATGCTCTGCATTGCTCTGTGCAAGGAGAAAAGATCTAAAAGGGGAAAATCATCCACAAAAGCAGGCCTGGCTCAGTTTCCTTACAGCTCCCAGCAGGGCAGCAGGCTGAAGCTGGCACATCACAGCGGGGCACTCACACAACACAGCGCGAGCAGCAGTGCTGCACGCCCCATTACCCTGCAGCCCCACAAAGCCCCCTCTGTGACTCTCCATCCAGTTCATCAGCTGTGCTGCCCCACGAAAGGCCTGCTGTTGTCCTCCAACCCACCTGGGCGAGAGCCTGCAGCCCTTCTGCAGGTAATGTGCGAGCCTTCCTGCAGACGCCAGCAGCAGCCCGAAGTATGGCGGGGACGGCTTGATGGGTCTGGAGAGGAATTCAGGGTGGTACTGAACACCCACGAAGAATGGATGCTCTACAAGGAAAAAAAAACAGGACACATCACTGACAACTTTGCAGGCCTGCAGCTCAGTGTGCTTGTTGATGACAGGGTCTTCCCTACCCCGATTCTTGCTCCTACAAGGGCAGGCCCATGGCACTCATGTTAGTGCAATTCACCATGCAAGGAATGGTTGTGAGGGAGCATGGCCCCATGTGGGAGCATGCTGTGTCCCTCAGCAGGTCCCCTGCAGGTGCTAACACACACAGGTCACCTTCTGACATGCTCACCTTCTAGCTCAACTATTTCCATCCGCTCTCCTTCCTCATCCTGGCCGACAAACTTCAAGCCTTGCTCTTCAAAAAATTTCTTCAGCTCTGGATTGACCTGGAGGACAAGCAGCGAGAGAACCCATCTTCTTTTGTGCCTGGGTTGTAAAGGGGAGCCCAGCACCCATAGCAGCAATCGTACCTCAAACCTGTGCCTGTGCCTCTCTTCCAAGAAATCGTGATCGCCATACAGCTTCCCTGCACCAAAAGACAGGTGAACATCTGTGAGCAAACATCAACCAGTGCATACAGTGCCACGTTTTGACACGTCCCTGTGAGCAGCAGGAAGCACTCAGAACACACAGGTAGGAAATGCCTTACTCATGACTGAGTTCTTCGTTTGGAAGAGCGTTCTCCTCTTGCCAAGCCTCATGGTTCCACCCATCTGCCCAGGGTTGTGTTCTGGCATGTCGATGACCTGGGAAATTCAGAGCAGGATGAGGCTGAGGGACACACAGCCTCACATAAACACTGAAACATTAACAGGGGACAAGCAACATCCATGCAGAAAACACAGACAGCAGCCCAGGGAACACTGTTCTGACTGGGCAGAGCAGCAGAGTGATGTTCCAGAAAGGCTGTTGGAACACAGTGTGGGTGTGGTGGGACTACATGCAGCCTGCAGGCTGAGAACACAGCTCAGAGACCACCCACAGACTTTCCAGGCAATTCCTGTCTGCTTCTGTTAATTACTGAGGTCATCAGTGAGCGATACTGATGGCACTGGACCCAGATATCACCACACGTGGTCCCACGAAATCAGACAGCTTTCCAAGTGCCCTTGAAGAGGGGCAGCTTTGTCTTTCCCCTCTGAAAAAACACCTTGGTTACTCGAAGAAGTGCAATGAGATAAATCACGTTTTAAAGAAATCCCTGTTGCAGCCCACTGAGCACTGCAGAGCCCTCAAAAGCAGCAGCTGCCATACAGCCAAGCAGGAAACAACACTTTCCATGCAGATTAATAAGTGATGAAAACCAACTCGAGCAGTGAACATACAGTCAGCAAGTCATGGCATACTCACCACTGGATGAGTGGTGTTGGGATCAAATTCTGTTGAGTTCGCATCTGTAACATTACACCCAGGGGTTAGAAACACCATTAAGTCCCTCTCACAGAAGTTCACAAACACAACTTAGAATGTTTCTGCACAAGGTGCAGAATGGGGGAGGGAGGAGGGCTCAGAAACACGTTCCTCCCTCTCACCTTCACTACCTGTGAAGGTTCACAATCAGCCTGAAGCACTGAGTTCAGTTTGGCACTCTGGAGGAAGGTCTGACAGCGGGACCTGCTCTATTTGAGCCCAGAAAGCACTTCAAGGCAGCAAAGCTGGCACTGCTGCCTGCCCAGCTGAACTGCTGCTCTCTGTGGCCGTGGGCTGTGAGGGCCCTGCACACACAGCTCTGCTCAGGTCACTCTGAACACTGAGTGAATGCCCCCACTGCATCCTGCCCGAATGAGATTATTCTTTTTCCTTTGAGCTGGCAGAAGGGGAAGGGAATTTTCTACAAGCCTAGGAAAAATAAAATGCAATCTATGTGCCAATGAAAAATGGAAAGCATTACAGGTGTTACCCAAACAGCCAAAAGGAGATGTCTGTCGCCTGGGGATGGTTCTGTGCAATTACCTGACCAACCAAGAACACTGCGTGCAAACTCCACAACTGCTAACTGCATTCCCAAGCAGACTCCTGCAGAAGAAGAGGCAGAACACAGATGAGGTATTTTTGAGCCCACGTGGTGAAGCTACAGACACCATCACTGAAAACACAGAGAGACCACGGCCTCGTCTGCAACTCAGACCCCAGCACAGAGATCTGCCATCACAACCCACAGACTCACAGCATGGCCTGGGTTGAAAAGGAGCACAGTGCTCATCCAGCTCCAACCCCCTGCTGTGTGCAGGTCACCAACCAGCAGCCCAGGCTGCCCAGAGCCACATCCAGCCTGGCCTTGAATGCCTGCAGGGACGGGGCATCCACAGCCTCCTTGGGCAACCTGTTCCAGTGCCTCACCTCCCCAGCCAGCCCTGACCAGCCTGCTACAGGTGGTGGCAC